CACATGACAACTCACACGGCTAAGAAACCTTTCACATGTTCAACCTGTGGAAAAAGATATCTTTACAAGAGTCGTTTAATTGACCACATGAGAATCCATACAGGGGAAAAACCGTTTACATGTGCTGATTGTGGAAAGAGTTTCCATCAAAACGGCTCTTTAAGCAGACACATGAAAATTCACTCGGGTGATAAGCCGTACACGTGCACAACCTGTGGAAAATGTTTTGTGTGTAAATCTCAATTATTTGATCACATGACGATTCATACAGGTGAGAAGCCTTTCCCATGTGGGACCTGTGGAAAAAGTTTCCGGAGGAAACCTGACTTGGTTAGTCACGTCAGAGTTCACACAGGTGAGAAACGTTTCTCATGTGGGACCTGTGGAAAAAAATTCACTCATAAAAACAGCTTAACTGCTCACATGAGATTTCACACAGGTGAGAAGACTTTCTCTTGTGGCACCTGTGGAAGAAATTGCTTGAATAAATCTGACTTAGTTAATCACATGAGAACTCATACAGGTGAGAAACCTTTCTCATGTGAGACCTGTGGAAAAAGTTTTGCTGGAAGACACCGTTTAACTTCTCACATGAAGTCTCATACAAACAAAAATTCTTTCCCATGTGGCACATGTGGAAGAAGTTTCACTCGTAAAATAATTTTAACTGCTCACATGAGAACTCACATGGGTGATAAGCCTTTCTCTTGTGGGATATGTGGAAGACGTTTCTCTCGTAACATACATTTAACTGCTCACATGAGAACTCACACAGGTGAGAAGCCTTTTCCATGTGGGATTTGTGGAAAATCCTTTACGTGTAGATCTGGTTTACGTCAGCACATGACAACTCACACAAGTGAGAAGCCTTTCTCATGTGGGATTTGCGAAAAAAGTTTTGCTCAAAAATACTATTTGGCTTCTCACATGGGAACTCACACATGTGAGAAGTCTTTCTCATGTGGGACATGCAGAAGGAGTTTCTCTCATAAAAAAAATTTGACTGCTCACATGAAAATTCACACGGGTGTCTGGTAGGGGTTCACTGGTTTATCAGTGTCACTTTGCTTCATTTTTGGAGATCTGTGATCAGCCGTTACCTGTGAATCTGATCTTTTCCCTGGATTTTATCTACCTTAGCAAAGGTCTGAAAGTCAGCCACTGTCCTCTTCTGCTCTCTGTTGAGAGGTTTGACTGTTCAACCAGCCCACCAGGTCATGTCTGCACATTTGTAGTTCACAATAGTCACTCCACTGTTGCCAGCTCAATGACTTTCTTACTATATTTAATGATATTTCAGACAAAAAAAATTAGTGTTGCCCAAAATTCGAAATGGCATATCAGGCTTTTTAAAGACTGGTCATCGGCGATCGGGCAGAAAACTGCAGTTGGTGCATCCCTAAAAGAAATGTAACCGTTCACATGAGAACTCACACAGGTTTGATGGCATAATGTGAACCTCAAGTGCCAAAATTCTTAATAATTTGCTTTTTGGAAACAGAGTAATTAAAGCTGGATTGAATTTTTAATTCAATTCAGCTTTAAAACGCATTTCAAATCGGAGATTTAGCTAAAATACTTCAACATTTGCTTTATTCTGGCAATTTTATGTTAACATTATTTGTTTTTAAAGAGAATATGGGAGATATTCATAGCTTCTTAAAGGAGCAATGGTTTTGAATGCTTTCAGGTTTACACTTGTAAAGTTTTGGAGTCTTTATTGTGTGTTTATCCTTTGTACTTATTTGGTTTATTTCAGTGATTGGATGAAATCGATACGTTAGCTGTTACTGCATGTGCTTGTAGGGTTTCAAATTAATGGCCCTTTGTGAGTTATGTTTTATAAACTTTAATCTAAATATCATCCATCATTTTTTTCTCAGGAAGAAATTGTGCTAAATAATGTTGAAATCTGAGATGTTTTCCCTTTTTGTTTAAACATCTTCATTGGCTTTATTCTTGTTAGTTAATGTAAGCTGCAGTTTTTATCCAACTCTTGTTTTGTCTTTTTTTTTTTGACATGGCTTTTATGCTTTGGATAGTAGAAAAGATATTGATGATATGAATTTAATTTAAGATATAATAAAGTTTATTTTCCACAATAATGATCTCTTTCATTTTTCCATTTAGTAGAAGATTGTTTGGTAGAATAGATTTGTACAATTACAACCCCAATCTCTGAATTCTGCTTCAGACGTTCATAAAAACAGAAAATAATTTGGCTGTAATCAGAGACTGGAATAAAACCAAGAAGCAGATAGTAAATCAGGAAAACCTTCACATATATAAAGAGCAGCAGTCTATAGAGTTCATCTCTTCCTCCGTGGTTCCAGATCCAGTGTTCAGGTTTGAAGTTTCAGGTTGATTCTTTGCTGCTGTGAAGAGATTAAACTGATCAGTTTTATTTACAGGAAATTATAGACATTGGTAATAAACACAGAGTGGAGATTCAGAGAGATTTCTGTTTCCACAGTGGAAGATCTAACCAAGTCAGTGTGATTTATCCGTCTTCAGT